AAAAAAAAAAAACATTCGAGTTATTTTCTTTCAAAAATTGTAAACATAATGAAAATTATATTCCTCAGAAAATGGATTTAAAGTTAAAACTCGTTCAGAAAACAAAGGAAAAGTCTGATATTAAAATACTTATAGCTCGATTTCTATGTACCGTAGCTACAAATGGAAGGTAGCTTTAGAAAGAAAACCGGATACCTTAAATAAAAACTGAAACACACGATTCTCAAAAAAATAATCATAAATATTCCTTTTCCTTCCTCCCAAACAGAACTTTATTTTAGAATTGCAATTTTAATATCACGATTTGATACAGCAATTTGTTACTAAAAATGGAAAAAAAAATTATATTCAAGAAGAAGTTGCTGTTCCACAAAAGATATTTGTGCACCGGGTGTGGTAGTTGATGGGATTCGAACCCATGTGGGGAATAAACCCCCCAGACGATTGCCAGGGTTTTTCGCCTGTTTCCTTAACCACTCGGACACAACTACCGTTCCCTACATGACTAAATAAGGATGTCAGTCAGGGGGAACTCTAATAGGAACTTAACATTAGAAAGGGAATACGGCAAAAGAAACCGAAAAAGAGCACCACAATGGTATCATCGGTATTCACTTACAAACCGGTAAGAGCATAACCGGTATTCTAAAACTTAAATAATCCGTCCCTCAACTACACGCAAAAGTACCACATGTAATATTTTATACAAGTATAAATAAGTGATCAGCCGTATACATTCAACGTTTGAAATTTAATTCAAAGGTCTTGCAACATTTCTGAAAAGTTCAGCTGAAATTAATCGAAATAGGAATATCGAAAAACCAATATACTGTTGCTTAATTCGTTAAATAATTTACCAATATGCAAAGCGATGAAATACTTTCAACTCTGTTGAAAAATAAAACACCGTATGCAATGAAAATTCTGAAATTCTCCCCCCTTATTTGTAAAACTTATTAAAACCTACATATTTATTGAAAACACATATATATATTCCTCTTCCACAACGAAAATCCTTACACACGTTTTGTTAGTGTTTCATTTAAATATATAAACAGAATTTAAGTTTATCGTAGAAAGAACTCGCACTTTTAATTCTGTGCTGTTTATTTTATTAGATTATTCATGGCATGACAACAATAAAAACAATGTATATAACTACATGAAAACATAATTTTAAAAATTCACAAAAATAATTGCATATCATGTCCAAAAAAATATAACGATAATAAAGTGTCAAAAAACAATTATTACACACCATGTAAAAAAGAGAGAGAGAGAGAGAGAGAGAGAGAAAGGTATAATTTGAACCTAATATGTGTCTGAAACTAAAAAACAGCATAGGATTTTACTTTTTCATATATAGATATTAACTTACTAAAACAGGAAAAAATACTTAAACAATTCAATCATGTCCAGTTTTTTGTAAAAATCAACATTTTTAGTTTCATTTAATTTCAAGAAATTTCTATTTAACTGAAAATCCAGTATTCTACTTTTGATTTTAAAAATCTCCATAAAACACGACTTCTTACATCAATTCTATCTATTATAGTATGACAAGACAGTAAAAGGAGGGGGGGGGAATAGAAGAATGGGGGGGAAGAAAAGTGGAAACGAGAGGGAGGGACAAAGTAGGCTTGGCGTTAGAAAGGAAGTCAGATAATCATGTCCAAACAGGTTTAATTAGTTTATAGAAAATGGAGAAAAATATTACTGGGGCTACGTTGACAATGTTTCGACGTGTTTTCTAGGAAAATAGGAATAAATATAAACAAACCTGCAGTCAGATTAGATCATGTTTGAGCAAGCTAAATAACTTCAGTAACTCGTTTGCTACGTAAAGACACACTCAGTTTACATCCAGCATTTAAACGTTACTGTACTCATGTTTTTATTCCCGGATCAAGGCTCCACACACACAACAGGTTGTGTTATTTCTGTGGATAATTTTGTTTCATTTATGGTGAATACACCATAAAAAGTCAACAAAGAAACATAAGTGATTCTGTAAAGAAAGTTTATTTTGCTTACTACAAACTAAAACTTGCGAGGAAGATCCTCATTTGTGGTTTAAGGGCAAGAAAAACTCATTTCGTATTGTATTTCTATGGTATGGCGTGGAGAAAGAAAAAAAAAAAAAAAAAACAGTAACAACTGCTATTTCTGTTCGGTAGGTGTTAAAGGATTTCACACAAAAATAAGTAGAAAATCTTTCCCTGACCTTGAATCAACTATTCGTCCAGTGTCCCATAGCTCTGAAATAGTAATACCTCAGCCACCTTCCAGTTTGGATGGCATCCTGAGAGAGTAAGAGGAATGAGACACATTACCTTTCCAGGAAAAATTTAACTGATATATTTTTGTTGACGAGAGACCTCAACTTTTTTCTGAAAGTGAATTCCATAACCCAATTACAGTTGGGCATTTCCAAAGATGCAGCCGAATTGCAAAGATGCTCAATGACTTATGAAGTTCTTTAAAATAGAATATGATTCACCTGAGTGGAGTCCATTCATTAATTCATACAAAACTAGGCCTCAAAGCAGTCTTGCTTCATAATGAAAATGCATTTGCATCTTTTCTAAAGAGACTCTCGGTGCATATGGAATAAAACTAAAATAATGTTAAGATTCTTGAGGAAATCAAGTATCAAGGGATGGAGACTTCAAAATACTAACCATGTTGTTGGGCTAGCAGGCAGTTTATACAAAATATCCCTCTTATCTCTTTACTTGTGGACAGTAGAGTCAGAGAATTGTATTGGCAAAAACAAAATGATTGACCACACGGAGAGAGGATATCGTAAGAGGCCTTAACCCAAGAGAAAAAAAATGTCATCAATATGACCTTAATACCATCAAAAAAAGATTTTTATTTCCACCTCCTTCATATTAAATTGGGGCTCACTAAGCAGTTTGTTAAATCACTGCCAAAAGTAGGGGATGGTTTCAGATATCTATGTTCCAAGTTCCCGAAACCCTCTGAAGCCAAGTTGAAAGAGGCAGATTTTACTGGCCCCGACAAACGAGAACTTTTATCTGGTCACTCCTTTTTGGAAAATATGAGAAAAACGGAAACAGAAGTGTGAGATTCTTTTTGGAGAAAGTAGTGTACAAATTTTTGGAGAATACTAAAGACCCTGACTACAAATTCAATGCATGCTGACTGTGTATAAAACTCAAGCATGCAAGATAAGCTAAGAAATTCATTTCCTCCAATTCCATATTGATTAATTTCCTGAAAACTTGGGAGCCCGCAGAAAAGAGCAGGGTGAAAGATTTCATTAGGATGTACTTGATATCGAGAGAAGCTACCAAGAAAGATGAGATGTCGTCAATATGCTAACTGATCAAAGTTGGATGTTCAAGCGAGAAACCATAGCTGGAAAGTAAAATCTAGTTCTGAGACCATCGAAGAGAAGAAAATATTTCACCAGAAAACGTAAAATTGTAACATAAACCATAATTTTTTTTTTAT